TAACCATGCTTGACAGCTAGGTAGACAGATATAGTCAGTGAAAGGGATATTTCTGACCGGGATAAGATTGCTCTTGTAGCTGCAATGTGAACTACGGGACCTTGAGGCTTCAACCTGCCTGTCACTAGGCAGAAAAGAAAGTTAGACTCTTTCCATTTTCCATCGGCTGTTAACATACCAGATGTGTTTCTGAGTGCTAAAGCGTGGCCAATCCTATTACAAAGATGACATAGAGTGGAAGCCACCTTTCTGGTTCCTTTGCATTTTAATGTATATATAGTAAGTGATAAGTTTTGAAAGATCAGCTGTAACCCCATGGCAAGAGGAACACTATTTTTGAAGTATGAAAGCATATGTCTATGAAGAAGAAGATATAAAAATGGTTAGTATTGATTCTATAGTTCCACAAATACTTATGGATGATCTACTTTGTAACCTATGTATCCTGTGATAGACCCTGGGGATTTAAAAGTAAGTTATTCTCCCACATAGGGTAACAGATTGTCTTAGTTTGTTCAGGACTGAGAGGGTTTCCAGGATGCAGTACTTTCAGTGCTAAAACTGGGAAAGTCCTAGGCAAATTGAAATGAGCTGGTTACCCTACCTGTCCCCAAGGAGCTCACAGGCTAGAAAGGAAGTCAGTTATGCAAATGCATAGCTATGAAATAGTGTGGCATGTGAAATTATAGACTAATAATACCAGCTTATACTTCTTGATATTGCTTGGCTGTGTCCCCACCCAAATCTCACCCTGAATTGTAATAATCCCTACATGTCAAGGACAGGGCCAGGTGGAGATAATTGAATCATGGGGTGGTTTCCTCAATACTGTTCCCGTGGTAGTGAATAAGTCTCTGAGATCTGATGGTTTTATACATGGGAGTTCCCCTGCACAAGCGCTTTTGCCTGCCACCATGTGAGATGTGCCTTTGCTTCTCCTTTGCCTTCCACCATGATTGTGAGTCCTCCACAGCCATGTGGAACTGTGAGTTAATTAAAGCTCTTTACTTTATAAATTACCCAGTCTTTCCTTTCCAAATTTCCTTTATTAGCAATGTGAGAATAGACTAATGCACTTCTATAACACTTTCTATGAGCCAGGCACTATTTAGAATAATGTCTGTCTTAGTCCCTTCAGGCGGCTATAACCAAATACCATAAACTGAGTGGCTTATAAACAATAAACATTTTTTTCCTCACAGTTCTGGAGGCTGGTAAGTCCAAGATCAAGGCATCCAGTAGATATGGTATCTGGTGAGGGCTGACTTTCTGGCTGTATAGAACTTATGGCAACTTTCAGTTGCTGAAATTGCCGAATTAGCAGCTGTAAACGTACTATGATTTGAGAAGCTCTAGAAGGCTTATTCCTCCGCCCCCAACATATCCCATCTCTTAGTATTAGGGTACCTAAAATTCTTTCATCAAAGATTCAGTTAAGTATTGTATAATAATCCTTTTGCTATATCTTTACATGGTGGAAGGAACTAGTTAGCTCTCTGGGGATAGGCATGAATTTCAATTATGAGGGCAGAGTTCTTATGACCTAATCTCCTCTTGAAGGCCTCAGTTCCTAATACCACCACCTTGTGGGTTAGGATTTCAACCTGACTTTGGCGGGAACATAAACATTCAGTGTGCTGCAGTATCACTGCAACTTTTACATGTATCAACTTACTGAATTTCATAATAGCCATGTGAAGGAAGAACTATTATTATCTCCATTTTACACAGACAGAAATTGAGGCACTACTAAAGGGTAGTAAATCTGGGATTCAAACCTAGGCAGCATGAGCCTAGATCTGAGATCTTAACCTCTAAACACGTCTCTCAAAAAACCTAAGACATAGAAGTAGCACAGAGGGGCGAGTGATGAACTTTCTGGGTGAGAGGAGGTGGTCATCAGATAAAAGGTAGTGGGAAAATGGGTTAGAGAAGGTGATATCTGAGAAGGATTTTGAATGATGAATGAGGTATTAACTAGCAGGAAGGGGAAAAGGGGCATTCTAGTTATAGTAGTTCAGGTTAGGACATAGAGATGTGAAATATCATGGTGTCACTGGTAAGTCAGTGCCAGTGAAGGTCCCCATGACATTTTTCTGGCCTCTGACACTCACAGTGATACATTTCATCACCCATGCCCGGACCTTTGTAAAGAAGCCCGAAGAGGTAGCAGGGCCAGACCACCAAGGGACTCGCATGCCATGATAAGAATCATAGACTTTAACCTGCACCTAATGGGGCAGCACTGAAGACTTTGAAGTAAAAATTGAGATTTGCTTTTTTAGAGAATTGCTCTGGTAGCAGCTAGAGGATTGCTGAAAAGGGGAGGAATGTAGGAACAGTGGAGGGGACAATCAAATATGAAGCTCTTGGAAAAATACCCCATGAGAGATGGTGACTTTAGCTGAAGCTTGTGGCAATGGGGATGGAGTGGGCTGGGCAGATTCAAAAGATGAAGGAAATAAAATGGACTATATTTGGTTAGTGATTGGATGGAGGGGCTAGAGGGACCAGGAAATCCAGTGATAAATTCCGTGAGCCTTATTTGTTGACTGGATGCATGACCTGTCCACTAATTCTTTTTTTTTTTTTTAAAGGAACACAGGCAGAGAGGTGAGTTTAGAAAGGGAAAAGACAGTGAGTTTGGCTTTCACAGTGTGACTCTCAAAAGCCTATAGGAAATCTAGATGGTCTAATCCAGATAGTCCATAAAAGAAGGAACTAACTCGCCCTAAGGGGCATTTATTTTTCTGATCAAGAGTGAAATAATAATTATGAGTGAAGTTTTTGGAGACAGGTATGAAGTAAATAGAAAGCAGAATAATTAATAGAATACTAATTCTATATCCTTTGGGTTACCTTTGAAGTAGAAAAAATTGATTACATTCATTCATCATAAAGTATCAGTGGCTTGCTTTACTATTTCCCCTAGGAATGTTTGAATTTTATAAAAGACATCAATACTTAACTGAGTCTCTGATGAAAGAATTTCAGATACCCTAATACTAAGAGATGGGACAAATTTGGGGGGAGGCAAATAAGCCTTCTGGAGCTCCTCAATTCAGTACATTTGCTGCTGCTAATTCCATATGCATGGGTACAGGGGCAATTTGAGCAACTGAAGGTTGCCATAAATTCTATATATGGATTATGCCCATACCTGAACTACCCTCTGAAAAAAAATACTGCTATATTTGTTTCAAAACATTTATGATCTTTATGATCTTGGGATCATACGTATAGCAAATCAGTTATCACTAATCAATATTTTTTATAATCCTGTTTATTTACATGACCTATTTATTTGAATTTGAATTTTTTGAACATCACTTCTTAGCTCTTTTCTCCCCTTCTAATTCCCTAAGTGTAATCATGCTTCCTTCAGAGTGTTCTGGATCCCTTAGATGAGGGAAGGGGCCTGTATCCCCACATCCTCACATAAACTTTCATCTGTGTGTTTCTGATGAATGATCTCTGGATTAAAGTACATGAACGATGATCTTGAATACCAGATGCATCATTTAACAAAATAACCTAAAGCAGTATGTCATGAATCCATTAATTGAGCTTAGCATGTCTTCTCTGAAACAATTATGAATAGAAGGAATGGAGGAACAGAGATCCAGAGAGGCTAAGGAAATTTCCAAAAGACACATCTTTAATCTGGGAACCAGCACAAATATGTGACTAGCCTGACATCTCACTGTAATCAGTAGACCATTCTGTCTCCTTGCTATTAGAATGCCATCATTTGTGAAATAGCCAAATCACCTGGAAGAATGACCTTGGTTGGCTCTTGTGATTGAGAAGCTTGGAGATCTTTTCTATCAGGCAAAACTTCACCCAACTCTCCCATTTCCTAGCTTTGGTTTTTATTTAGAGAAGCATGCTGCTCACTGTTCTAATATTGTTCATCTTTGTCAGCACCCAAGGCCACAACTTTGTCTGAACAGCCAGTGATATACTGCAGATAGAGTGCAGCAAAGACATTAAACTCTAAATGACATTTATATGGACTCTGAGTTCACCAGAGATGGATTGATGCTGCCATAAAGCCTTGGGGTAGCCAGGCAAACAAAAGACTAAGGAGACTGGTGGGGGCAGGGATGGTGGTAAGAAAAGCAGTATCTTTCTACATTCACTTTCTCTCTCTGCTGAGGTTGGCCTACATCTTATTTAGGAAGTGAAGAAACCAAGTGAGTATGGAGACTTTTGGAGCCCAGTACAAAAGCAAACTTGGCCATGATTATCAATGGAGCTTCTTATGGCTGTGACCAGGCCAGTGTCAGCACAAGTAACTGGACACTTACAACATCCCACTTTGAACCCAGTGCACCTCACCAACCATATATCTTTATGAAATAAAGAAAAGACTTAACATAGATGCAAAAGCAGTGGTGGATCAAGCAAGGATTTAAATATATGCCCATTGATTCCCTTGGCAGGTATCCTTAGTATCACAGCCATAACATTATTTAAGGGCACGCTCACCCAGGATGAACACAGTGCTGGCATTCCACTCTGCTTCCCCATTCTGCAAACTGGATTGAAGACAGTAGTATGTCTGGATTTATATTCAGGATTAGCACGATAGGACCCATCTTTACCTGATCCAACAGGTATTTTATTAGGTACTCAGGAGCCTGACTGGAAAATGATTTTATATAACAAAACGGTAATTTATTTTTTGTAGCTAATGCTAATCAGTTATGCAAGCACTTAATGTGATTAAACTTACTGCAAACAAAATGCCCAATTATCAGAAATGGGGCTTCCCTGCCCCCATCCTGTCTCTCCACATGGACGTGTATGTGCAATTGCAGACCACTGTGTGTATATGCTTGTGTGTCTTCTTCATGGACCACCTGCAGCTAACTTTGGAATATGCAGATTTTTAAGCATTATTTAAACCACGGCAACATATACACATTTAAAAAATAATCAGTGACTAAGAAAGCTCCATATTCACACGAAGAAAGAAAACAATAAATCTGACTTACCGGTTTATGCTGTTTGAGGCAGCAGAGGAACAAGTTGTTGGTAATTGTCCAGTGCTTTCATTCAATAAATCACATTGGCTTTGCTTTCTCCTGTGGCTCAGCCTCTGTGCAAAGCAAGCGAATCTCCTTCCTATTCTGTGTAAAGAATAAAATGCGAACAGGATCACTACAGGCAAGAGCTGAAGTCCATGATCACTAAGCTACCCTTAATGCAAAATAAAAGAGCAAATGATGCATAGGGAAAGAAAGGGAGAGGTAAACAGCTTGGCTCAGAGGTTAGGTGTATTCTCTAGACTGCAGCCCAGGGAGGGCTTGATTTCTGCCGCCTGTATTCATGTAGTAAAAGAATACCATGACTTCAGCCTGTGATTAGCCTATCGTATCCGGGAAGACCATTCGAAACGGCTTGCAGAGACTACTAGCTTCATGGCAAACAAGACTGAATCCGAACCGACTGTCACTCAGGGGTGAGCAGAGGGGCAGTGGGTCACTACATCAACGGCAGGGAAAGAAATATTGTCTGGCATCCAAGAGCCCATCCAGCAATCTGTGACTGCAAATGATCTACAGCTCTTCTGGGGCCAGACATCTCCTTGTTTCTACAGCCGTCTGGGACCAGAAGCACACAGGTGGCAGTCACATCCCTTCACCACAGGGCACCTGCGCAATTCCTTACAAGTTCCCAGCAGGAGCTAGGGGGCATCTTAAGAAAGCTCTAAATCCAGTCAGCGCTGCTGAAATTGTGCTTGGGTTTTTGTCTGAGCAGGTTCTGAGAAAGTAGTCAGCAGACGTGGGACTTAGGACAGCAAGAGGCTCAGTCTCAGGAAAAAGATTCCAGTGCTGCTTCTATGCCAGCCACATATGAGTATACCTGGCTCCTTTCACAGCATTGTGTTTTACATGGCTAATGAAAGACACAAATAGATTTCCTAGAAAGCTGTATACATAGGCATTTTTAATGATTGTCACTGAAATAAAATGGAAAATTACCTTCACAGGCTGCTTATTATGTTGGGGGGTGGGACTCGCTGATTGATAGCACATATGAATACTGCACATATATGCACACACCCCCACACACACCCACACACACATACCCCCATACACCAACCACACAGGGCCCTAGCAACAGCCTTAAGAATCTTTGTAAAGCTCTGTTCTGATTCTTTCTCTGCCAAATGAATATAGAGCTGCTGTAATGACTTCGTAAGTAATTTCGGACTCTTCTGCTAGGCACTGTCTAGTCTATCATTTATGCCTGGAGCCAAATAAACTCTCAAATTTTGAATGAAACTCTATAGCAAATCAGAAGGAAGTCTCTTGATCATAAACAAGTGGGTGGAGAGTTAAAATTGCTTAGGATCCTGGAAATGACCTCTTGTCTTCCTGAAACTCTCCCCCTTTCTAGAGACATTATTTCCCCCGATAGCTCGCTCACCCTCAACAGGTGGCTGTTCTGGAGCTCAGATCTGAGGCAAGGCTCAGTGACTCATAAAGCCCGGGTGGCCGAAGAAAGAGCTCAGTTTAGCTTTTAACAATTGTCTTACTTTTTCTTTTCTTATTAAAAAGGTGAAATCTCGCTCTTGAACATTTACTATCCCTTTCTATCCTTGGATTTATTTGTCCATGGAAGCACTGCTATGAATAATCTAATTAAGGAATATTCATGCCCTTGAGGTTTAGAGGGCTATGTTTTTCGTCAAGGATTAAGAAAGAGCCTGGCTTCTCTTGCACAGCTTAGGCCAAAATGATTGCCAGCTAAAACTTTACCCTTTCACCTAGAAAAACTTTGGCTTTAGTGCAGATTTACTTGAATTACATCTGCTATGGTAAGCTAGGTGACTTAGTAACTCTACTAAGGTTAGAGGGTTGCCTCACTGGGGTCATGAGTTACATGTGCTATGCAGACCTAAGGGAACAGTGACTCTGGTGTAGTAGCAACACTTTCTAGAGCAAATACTCAAGTCAAGTCAAAAAGCCCATGTTTATTGCAAAGAAAATTCATTCATTCATTCATGTATTCGTTAATCTACTCTTCAATAGACATGTAGTATTTGTAGGTTAGGCTCATTGTGCTACATACTTTAATGTTACCTAGAGCCTACTGATGAAGTATAAACTCCTTGACATACCCTAGCAAAATTCTTCATAGTCTGGCTCTTCGTATCATTCTAGCCTAATTTCTCACCACATTTCTATTTGCAGTCCATGCTGTAGTTTTTTTGAATACCTGTTAGTTCCTTGGACATGCTATATTCTTTCTGAATACCAGATCATCACATATGATGGGTATTCTTCTGCCTGGATGCTCAGTTCCCTATGTCTGGCTAACTCCTGTACAGCCTCGGAATCTTTGCTTAAACATAAACTCTCAGAGATATTTTTCTTGCCCCTAGTCTGTTAGGGTCCTTGTTCTGTGGTCTGAAAGCACAACACCTTATACTCTGCCATCATTATATCCATCATATTTTATTGCACTTCATAGTTTAGCATCAGTCATCCCCATGGTATTGTAAGAGTTTAAGTGCAAAGTCTCTTATTTTCTGCTGTATTTCCAGGGTCTAACAGAGTTCCTGGACATAGAAGGCGTTCAATAAGTATTTGATGTTTTGTTGAAGTGCTTAGTGTATATTTATTGAATGAATGCATAAATCACCTGAAGGAATAATGGGGAAAGGGGTCTCAGAGTTGAAAGGAATCTTAAAGTTCTCTTGGGGTGTCTAAACTTTCCTGCCAAATGACTATCCACTGAAGGCTTGCCTCCTCCAATTAATCCTTCTGGATTAATCTCAACCCATATTGAGCACACTTTTATTTTGTCTCCCACTTTTTAGCACTTTTACAGCATGTTTTTCCTTTTTGTCCTCTAGCTGGTTCCCGGAGTTCCTCTCATCTCTGCAAACTGGTACTCTGTAACTCTTAGCATAAGCCTGCAATTATCTGATGCTTGATTCATTGAACATCAAACACTTGAACAGGGAGTTAAATGATCAGAGTCTTGTTTTAGGAAGATTTCTCTGGTTCTGGGGGAAGAATGAGTGAGATTAGCCAGACCTAGAGAAGACTCTAGTAATGACTACAGCACGAGATGGGATCTAAAGGCAGCTTTGCCCTTTCTTTCCTTCTACTCCTCCCCCATTACTCCACCCTCCGTGTCATAATACCAATGTTCTCATCTGGAACACTGAGAATGTTTGTTCCACACTCAGAACTTCCCCTCCACCCAATTCCACCCCCACAGTTATTTAACGTGCTTAGGGTATTTGTGAAAGCGTCTCACAGATTTGGTTAAAGGCTCCTTTAAAGACAGGGATTGTGTTTTATTTTGCATCTTTCTCCTTCAGCCACTACACATCCTGGACTAGCAAGTGCTCAATAAAAGTCAAGAAATAAATTAATTTGTTATATGCAGTGTATTAAGTGAAGCAATGTGGTTGGGAGGGAGCATTGCTCCCATTCAAAGATGAACGGGGCACCTTTACAAAGATAAAAGAGATATATTTAGCAACAGATATGCAACCGATTACAATACAAGGCAGAATTAAATAAGTGCCATAAAAAACTATGAGCAACGTGCTAAGGGAACATAGAATTATTACTTCTTTCTGTAATCCATAGAAAAGCAGAGAAGGTGGCCTTTGAACTGGGACTGGAGGTCTGAGGATTTCTCTACCGGTTGAAAAGAAGAAATAGGTTCGGAGTCAAGGCATAGAGTTCCCGGGCTATTAGGGAATGACAAGTAGTCTAGCAGACTGGAGTGAACAGTTCCGGGAAAAGTTGATGGAACTTGTCTCAAAAAGTAAGCAGGAGCTAAATTGGAGAGCGCTTGAACGGTATGTTAAAGGGTTTTGCCATAGGTGACAGTGATCTGAGCAGGAGAATGCCAGAACAGCTGATTAGAATCCATCTGGCCTAGCCATTGTGGATAGTGGTGAGAACCCAGAAGCAGGAAGACACTGATGGTGTGAGGGACTGTGAAGATGTAAATTAGAAGATGAAAGTTCTATCTTTGGAGCGAGAACTTAAAGGATTTGTCAACAGTATGGGTGGGGTAGGGGAGGATGAGACAAGTTGAAGGTGACTTTTAAAGGTTTAGCCTACATGATAGCAGATGATGATGACATTAATTTATTCCGGTACACACACCTAGAGATAATTTGGGCATGCAGGTTGTGATCTGTGTATTTTTTTTAAGACAGAGAAAAGAACGGGAGTTGAGTCCTTGGACTCATGTGAATGTGCCTAAACATTCACAGAATGCTTTGAAGAGCCCATTTAGTACCAGGTAAAGATTTGAGCCCAGGTCGTGACAGATGAACTGCCTCCAGCAGCATTCAGTGCCATTTCTAGGGATCATGGGTACAGGGTTTCCATTAAATGTGAGAGTTTGTGGTTTCCCACTGGAGTTGGTTAGCTCATTGGAAAGAACCTGGGTCTGAGAATGGGGAGATGGAACTTGAGTCCTCGAGCTGCCTCTCAGTAGCTGTGTGATCTTGTACTTTTTGTCATTAGGGTTCATTATTCTTGCTTGTGAAATGAGAGAGCTGGACCAGCTAAATTCAAAGGTTTCTTTTAGTATACTCTCCTCTGATTTGCAACATATGATATTTAGAATTTCAGAACACTTGCAAAATTAGGCCAAAGCCCACCAATATCAGGAGCCAGTAATGTCCACTCTCCCCTGCAAAAATCCTGACCATATTTTGAGAACGTCCATATATCACTGCAAATGCATGTCTGTCTTGTGGTTAGTTCCATGTGGTTTGTTCGTTAGACGTAAATTTAAATTGATCACTTTTTGATGGCTATTTTCTAATAACTTTTCACTTTTTTTTTCAGCAAAGTTTTTTTTTTCCTTAGGGAGTTCCTTTTCATCAGGATCTCAAAATTAAATTATAAGAAAGTAGCATTCCCTTACTGTGGTCAGCAAAGAGCCTGGCCAGCTTACTTCCGTTCCCTAATCTCTTGACCTTCCTTAGGGCGCGGCTGCTCAATAATGGCTCCAATTTTTTTTTTTTTTTTTTTTTTTAAATAAAATGTGCTACTTACCAAAAGCTGCTAAAAGGGAGGCAAAAAATAGGAAAAGAAAACTAACACCCCAGGGTGTATCTGAATATGCTTATTATGTGCGAAGT